GTTATAGTACAGCGCCCTTTCAAATGATCAAGCAATTTGCTGATCGCATCCTTAGTGAGGTTGCTCACCCTCTCCACGGTGAACTAATGGCTGCGATGTCTTCCCGTACAATGCGCCGAGGTTTCCGTCACATGTCTTGCCATACATCGGCATATCAACACTCTGTACTCCCATTCCTAGCACGCTACCTCAGGTGTGAAAAAGCGAAAATTTAGAAGTTGAAAACTGACCTGTCTCCGTAGTAGGTGTGGATATCGTATAAAACTTTAATTTTGAGTATTCTATGACCTTTTACCATGATCCCTTACTTACCTTATCCCTTGCTCTCCATGAATGGAGCCATTTTTTCTGAAAGTTTAGGATATTCCATTCTAAATAAAACATTCTTTTCTCTCATTTGCAGATTTCAAGTGTTCCTCATGCAGCCTAGGCGTTCATATGAAACCTCAAATGACAGTTGGGGCACTCTGTCCAAGGAAGTTGATCGAGATTCAGAATATCGACTGTTAGACATCATAAGGAAAGGCGAGGAAATTGGACAAATTAATAGTTTGAATGACATATATCGAATGCTTTAGTTTTTGGAAAATATTCTGGCCAATCATGAAGTACTGAAGTTAAATGCATTTGAGCTGGGATGTTTATCAGCTAGTTTTGCAGGGACAAACTGAAAGTTAATTAGAAGTAGATAATGCAATCGTTGGAATAAGAAGTTTATTCGGCTGACGAGAACCCTTCGTTAGAGGTAACCGTAGAATTGAGTAATATGTACCTACATACATAAGTGTCAGTTAATTAGAACGTACTCTCGGGCTTTAAGGGAGGGAAAGTCGACTGTATCAGTCATTACTTGTCTTACTGGTTCAAAGATTTTGATTTTTGGCCAGACTTCTGGAAGAAGTTAAAGCAATTTCTGCGGAAAGGAAATAAACTAACTGCATCCAGCTACCTCAACTTTAAAGCTAACGCGAAGAAGTCGTTGTTTCAGCTAACTAGCTAGCACTATCTGGACGTAATCTGGGTTTCCGCCGTTGTATCAACTAAAAAGTTATCTGCGTGGCTTTCTTACGTTGATTGATCACAGAACTCACCATATAAGTGTTCTGCAGGGCGGAGTTAAAAGCTATACGCATTGGACCATCGTCCATTGACAAATGCCGAGAATCTCGTGGACCGCCCTTCTTGGGACGAATGTTACCCTTAAAGGCAACTTCAAAGACTTGGCGCTCGTAGATGAAGAGAGGGCCAGTTGGCTTGTCCCCCTCTGTGTAGCCCCCCATTGCCAACTGTCCCAACGTCTTGTCCAGATTTTGGGCTAAACAAACTGCCAAGCATATTTTGCTGGGGTCGTTGGACATTTGACGAAGTATGAAGTAGACCATGCGTTGAGAAAGACTGCGCTCCAGGATTGTGGCTGTCTGCAAAAGGCTCTCCGGATCCATCACTGTCCTCGATTTTATGCACAGTATTCTGTAGTAGCAAATAGAAGATGTACTGATATATATATATGTATATATATATATATATATATATATATGAGTGCCTGTGTAAGATTC